GGCTCCGGCGATCCTTCCGCCTCAGCCTTCCAAGTAGCTGGAACTACAGGTATGCGCTACCACATCCGGCTACTTTTTTGATTTATTGTAGAGATGAGGTCTCGCCAAGTTCCCCAGGTAGGTCTCGAACCCGCAGGCTCAGGCAATCCACTCACCTCAGCCTCCCAAAGGCGCGGAATTACAGGCTGAGCCACCAAGCCCGGCTTAATTTTTTGATTTATTGTAGAGATGAGGTCTCACCAAGTTGCCCAGGCGGGTCTCGAACCCGTGGGCTCAGGCAATCCACTCACCTCGGCCTCCCAGAGTGTTGGGATTACAGGCTGAGCCACCGAGCCTGACCTGCATGCTTATTTTTAAAAATCAGTTCCATTTCCTAGAGGTGACTTCAGCTAACAATTGATTATTGATTGTGTGGTCTTTCAAACTTTGTATCTGCATAGAATGATAACTTTATAATTAGAACAAAAAGTAATAAATTATTCTCAATCAGAATATGCAATTTTGTATGCTATTTTTCAGTTACATTAAAATATACCCACAAAAATTCTGCAAAATATTGCAGTGTTTGTCTCTGGATGATGAGAATAGAAGTAACTTATTTTATCTTCTATTTGCTTTTCTATTAAAAGGAAATATATTAATTTTAATACAGGAGTTGGGGTTGGGAGGAAATACACTTTTTGAAAAGTCAACCTTTTCTTTTTTTTTTCTTTCTGCCCCTTATAATCTTCAGGACATAACCTTTTCCTGAATTAGAAACTAAAGGTTTTTTTTTTTTTTTTTTGAGTCAGAGTCTCACTGTGTCACCCAGGCTGGAGTGCAGTGTCATGCTCATGGCCACTACAGCCTCGACCTGCTGGACTCAGGCGATCCTTCTGCCTCAGCCTTTCAAGTAGCTGGAACTACAGGCATGTGCCACCACGCCTAGCTAATTTTTTGATTTATTGTAGAGACAGGGTCTCACCAAGTTGCCCAGGCTGGTCTCAAACCTGTGAGCTTAGGCAGTCCTCTTGCCTCGGCCTCCCAAAGTGCTGGGATTACAGGCGTGACCCACAACATGTGGCCGAAACTAAAGAATTTTTTTAGGCATTGATTACTATATTAATGACTGCTTTCATATACCAGTTGAAAGCTGTGATTGGCTGTGACAGAATCACCTGTGGATGTTTTAAAAATGTAAAAGATCAGGATTTTACCCTCTAAAAATAGAAATAAACAGCCAATGCCTGGTTAGGACCCTGAGTATATTTAGGATTCCTTGGTGATTCCTTTGCAGCCAGGGTTAAAAATCATTATTTTATACCCTAAGGTTGTAATGTGTATTGAATGTTCACATACTCTGACCCAGTAATTCCATTTCCAAATATTTACTCAGGAGGAACTAGTAAGTGTATACCAAGAGACATGTATGGGAGTATTCCTAGTGTACTGTTTGTGATAGGAGAAAACTAGAAACAACTCAAATGTTCACTGGTTATAAAACAGGTATGTTTTTGTATATTTAGTTGTTAAATGCCTCTGCAGAAAAAAAAAAAAATCAATGAACTATAGCTAGGTATACATATATGAATCTTAGAAACATGACAGTTTCACAGCCAAGCGCAGTGGCCCACACTTGCAATTCCAGCATTTTGGGAGGCTGAGGCAGGAGGATCGCTTGAGGCCAGGAGTTCAAGACAAGCCTGGGCTATATAGTGAGATTCATTTCCACAAAAAATAAAAAAAAATTTAGCCAGGCATGGTGGTGGGCATCTGTAGTCCCAGCTACTCATGAGACTGAGGTAGAAGGATCGCCTGAACCCAGGAGGTCAAGACTGGTGAACGTGATTATGCCACTGCATTCCAGCCCAGGCGACAGATTCTGGCTCAAAAAAGAAAAAAAAAAAAAGGCACTTCCCAGAAGACTAAAATTGTGTGATGCCCCTTCTAGAGTTTAGAAAGAAAAGGAAACAATGTATTGTTTAAGCATGTATAAATGTATTAGAGTAGTGGTTACCTCTAGGAGTGTCTGAGGTAGTAGTTCTGTATAGGAGCTTGTAGACATATGCAACAAACTGGTCAATTTTTACTCTAAAGGCTGGGAAGTATGTAGGTGGGTACTTATTTCATTAACTTAAAAATAGTATCTATATTATTATGTATGTGTTAATATTACATTTCATTAGTAGGCACCTTTTAGGGAGACAGCACAGCATTGATATTTTGATGTCACTATATCTCTGTGGCTTATCTAATTAGTATCACCTGATGAATAAGTAAAGCTACAACCATCAGTGAAGTTACCTGTCGTGTGTTTTTGGTTTAGACACCTCCCTGTAACATGGCTCATGGTTATGTCTTCAATCTTATCAGTAAGGTCCTTTTAGTTCCTGTACAGTTCCTTGTAAACAAACAGTATCCTGACATCAGAGCTAGCTGAGATCTTCCTTAGATCATCTAGTCCTGGGTCTGTGAGCCAACTGCCTGTGGGTGGGAGACCCACATGTGCATTCTCTATAACCATCTGTTTTAAAAAAATTTTAGTGCCGCTAGTCAAGAGATACACTAGTCACTTTGCCAGACTCTGTCTCTCCCTAATGTTTCCATTCTGCCCAATTGTCAGTTTATCTGCTTGACCCTTGTGAGCATCTGAATTATGAACAGACCTCTGAACTACTCTGACCTCCCTTGTTTTACAGACAAAGAAACTAGTGAGAGTCTAGTGTATGTGAGAAGAAATTATGGGAATTTCAGTTTTGTTGTCTGCTGGCATTTCACTCCAGCACACTATTCCTTAATATAAGTGTAAGGATTATTTCTGCTATACATGGGTATTGCTAAAGTGTTTTTGGCTATATTTCTCCAGAGTGAAAATGAAGTTAATTGAGGAATATGATTTGATACATAAACAATTTACATGCAAGTTTTCAGGGATACAGATTATACAGAAACTGAATGTTTGGATTAGCCCTAATGGAGAGAAGCTGGTTACAGGTTTTCTTGGTCCCTTAAATATTGGGAAGGCAAAGAGTATGTGTCTTATTTCAAATCTCTGTTTGGGACATTTATATTAAAACAAATGAATACTTTGATCCATCTTTTTCAGCACAATGTTAGAGGTGTTGTGTCTATGGCTAATAATGGCCCCAACACCAATGGATCTCAATTCTTCATCACCTATGGCAAGCAGCCTCATTTGGATATGAAATACACGGTCTTTGGAAAGTGAGTATCCTGGTACGGTTTTCCTTGGCATTTCAGTGCAAGGGGTGTGTATGCTTGGCTAGTAGCACAACTAGTATTGATAGGAGCAGTGTAAGAGCTAAGTGTGCCTGGAATTTAAGTCTACAACTTGCCAGCCCTGTGACCATGGTGAGAAAGTTATACCCTCTGAGCCCATTCTCCTATTTTATACACACAGGGCCAAAAAAATTTTTTTCATGATTGTTAAGCAAATTAACAGTATTCATCTTCATTAAGAAAGCATTCCAGGCTGGGCTCGGTGGCTCAGCCTGTAATCCTGTGCTTTGGGAGGCTGAGGTGAGTGAATTGCCTGAGCCCGCGGAATCGAGACCCGCCTGGGCAACTTGGTGAGACCTCATCTCTACAATAAATCAAAAAATCAGCCGGGTGTGGTAGCGCGCTCCTGTAATTCCGGCTACTCGGAAGGCGGAGGCAGAAGGATCGCCAGAGTCTAGCAGGTCGAGGCTGCAGTGGCTGGGAGCGTGCCACTGCCCTCTAGCCTGGGCGTCAGAGTGAGAATCCAACCCCCAAAAAAGAATAGCATTTCACAGCAGTTAACAGATCTGAAAATAGTGCCTTGCACAAGATGGATGGTGTGGTGGTTCCATGTTCGAGGCATCTTTAGCTTCAGCCCTCTTTAGCTTCTGTCCTCAAGCTTGCTTCATGGTCTTAATATGGACACAGCTCTAGGCAGAACATCCATGTGCCAGGCAGAAAGGAGGAAGGAAAAAAGGCGCTTGCCAGCCGAGTCACCATTTAATTTAATTTAATTTAATTTAATTTAATTTATTTATTTTTGAGTTGGAGTCTTATTCTGTCTCATTTATTTATTTATTTATTTTTGAGTTGGAGTCTCACTCTGTCTCCCAGGCTAGAGTACAGTGGCACACTCATGGCCACAGCAGCCTCGACCTGCTGGGTTCAGGCGATCTTTCCCCCTCAGCCTTCCAAGTAGCTGGAACTACAGGCATGCACTACCACACCTGGCCAATTTTTTTTTTTTTTTTTTATTGTAGAGATAAGGTCTCTCCAAGTTTCCCGGGCTGGCCTTGAACTCATGAGCTCAGGCAGTTCTCTCATGTCAGCCTCCCAAAGTGCTCAGATTATAGGCATGAGCCACCGTGCCTGGCTTATTTTATTTTTTGAGTTGGAGTCTCACTCTGCTGCCCAGGCTGGAGTGCAGTGACATGCTCACGGCCACCACAGCTTTCACCTGCTGGGCTCAGGTGATCCCTGCATGTCAGCCCTCCAAGTAGCTGGGACCACAGGCTCGCATCACCACAACCAGCTAATGTTTTTGATTTATTGTAGAGATGAGGTCTCACCAAGTTGCCCACACTAGTCTTGAACCCTTGGACTCAGGCAGTCCTCTGTCCTTTGCCTCCCCAAGTGCTAGAATTACAGGCGTTAGCCACTGTGCCTGGTTATTTATTTATTTATTTATTTATTTTTGAGTTGGAGTTTCACTCCGTCGCCCAGACCGGAGTGCACTGGTCACTCCCGGCCACCGCAGCCTCGACTCACTGGGCTCTGGCAATCCTTCCGCTTCAGCCTTCCAAGTAGCCGGAATTACAGGTGTGCACTATCACGCCTGGCTGATTTTTTTTATTTTATTGTAGAGATGAGGTCTCGCCTGCCCAGGCGGGTCTCAAACCCGCAGGCTCAGGCAATCCACTCACCTCAGCCTCCCAAAGGCGTGGGATTACAGGCTGAGCCACCGAGCCTGACTCTGTGCCTGGTTATTAATCAATGAAGTTAATGAAATATTACAGCATCTAGTGGGTTCTGTGTGTATGTAAATAATCCAGTTTTTTTCCTTTTATTTTCTTCCTTTTTCTTTTTAAATTATTGATCTATAATTATCAGGACTTATCTTACTGGATTTATAACAAAACTGTAGAGTTTAGAACAAGGATTAACCTTGGCTCATTAACTTCTTACGGTGTACTGGATGTGTATGCACACATATTTTTCTGGGAATAGGCTCACAACTTTCCTTGGGTTCTCCAAGGGTCTCACGTCCCAGAAGCTTGACTAGGCTTAACCTGCCTCAGTTCTACCTTCCTTTTTTTCCCCCCTGAGATCTGTTTCCTCTCTCCTCTGTTTCTCTTACTGACCCAGAGGTAAGAAATTCTTTTAAGAATTAACAATTTAGGACCATTCTCTTGTTAAGCCCTGGTCCAGGCATGTTGAGTTCTGGCTGGGTCTTGTTTTCCTAGCTTTGGTCCCTTCCCCTACCTTGGGGAGGTGAATCTTTTCTTTCTGTTTCACACCTGACCTTATGGGATGGGTTGTAATCAAAAGTGTAATCAAAACTTTGTTTCATGCCCCCCTCAAATTTTTTTTTTCTAAATAAACTGTGTTTTCCAAACTAGAAAAAAAAATGATTTAACAACTTAAAGACTTAAATGTCCTGAATTTAAGAGTAAAATAAAAATGTTTTGGTTAAAGTACCATTTTAGTGAAAATGCAAATCTGTTGGCTTTTTTAAGTATATGCTAGTGGTTGAGCATCCCTAATCTAAAATTTTAAGTCCAGAATGCTCCAGAATCTAAAACTTTTGAGCACTCACATGCTTGCCACCACAAGTAGAAAATTTCACACCTGACCTCATCGGATGGGTTGTAGTCAAAACTTTGTTTCATGCTCCTCCTCAAAATTTTTTTTTTTTTTTGAGTCGTTGTCTCACTCTGTTGCCCAGGCTGGAGTGCAATGGCATGCTCACAGCTACCACAGCCTCGACCTGCTGGGCTCAGGCAATTCTTCCACCTCAGCCTTCCAAGTAACTGGAACTACAGGCACGCACTACCACATCCAGTAATTTTTTGATTTACTGTAGAGATGAAATCTCGCTATGTTGCCCAGGCTAGTCTCAAACCCACATGGGCTCAGGCAATCCTCTCACCTCCACCTCCCAAAGTACTGGAATCACCAAAAAATTTTTATTTTTAAAAATTTTTATATATTTATTTTTGAGTGGGAGTCACTCTGTTGCCCAGACTGGAGTGCAATGGCACACTCACAGCCACTACAGCATCAACCTGCTGGGCTCTGGCAATCCTTTTGCCTTAGCCTTCCAAGTAGCCAAAACTACAGGCCCGGCTACCACGCCTGGCTAATTTTTATCTATTGTAGAGATGAGGTCTCGCCAAATCGTCCGGGCTGGTCTCAAACCCGCGGGCTCAGGCAGTCCACTCACCTCGGCCTCCCAAAGTGCTGGGATTATAGGCTGAGCCACCGAGCCCAACCAAAATTTTAAAAAATATTTTATAAAATTGCCTTCAGCCTGTGTGTGTAAGGTATATATGAAACATAAGTGAATTTCATGTTATGTACATGCAAATTATATATATATGCAGATACTCCAAAATCCAAAAATAAAAAACAAATCTGAAACATCTCTAGTCCCAAGCATTTCAGAAAAGGGATATTCAGCCTGTATAAATCTTGGAAATTGATTTGTGTGATACCCAGAGACATAATCTAAAAAGCCACTCTTCTCTGGCCAATCGCAGTGGTTCACACCTGTAATCTCAGCACTTTGGGAGGCAGAGGTGAGAGGATTGCCTGAGCCCAGTTTCGAGACCAGCCTGGGAAACTTGGGAAGACCTGGTCTCTACAATGAATAAAAAAATAAGGCGTGGTGGCACATGCCTATAGTTCTAGCTACTTGGAAGGCTGAGGTGGAAGGATCATCTGACACCAGTAGGTCCAGGCTGTGGTGGCTGTGAGTGTGCCACTGTACTCCAGCCTGGGCAACAAAATGAGACCCCAACTGGAATGAATGAAGGAAGGAAGGAAGCAAGCAAGGAAGCCAGCCAGCCAGCTTTCTCCAGGCACAGTGGCTCATGCCTCTAATCCCGATACTTTGAAAGTCTGAGGCGAAAGGATTGCTTGAGTCCGGGAATCAAGACCAGCCTGTGCGACATAGTGAGACTGCATCTCTACAAAAAAATCAAATTGGCCAGGCGTGGTGGCATGCTCCTGTAGTCCCAGCTACCCTGAAGGCTGAGGCATGAAGATTACCTGAGCCCCAGTGATTGAGGTTGAGGTGAGCTGTGATTGTGCCACTGCACTCTAGCCTGGGCAGCAGGGTGAGACCCTCACTCAAAAAAAAAAAAAAAAAAAGCTGCATTTTCTTTGCAAATGTTTTAGACTAAAATTTCCAAAAGATGTATTTAGGATTTTTTGTTCACTTTTTTTTTTTAGAGACAGTGTCTCAGTCTATCACCCAGGCTGGAGTATACTGGAGTGATCGTAGCTCCCTTATAACCTTGAACTTCTGGGCTCAAATGATTCTCCTACCTTAGCCTCCTGAGTAGCTGGGACTACAGGCATGTGCCATCTCACCTAGCTAATTTTTTAATTTTTGTGGAGAAAGGGTCTCACTGCACTTCATTGTCCAGGCTAGCCTTGAACTCCTGACCTGAAGCGACCTTCTGCTTCAGCTACTCAAAGTACTAGAATTATAGGCATGAGCTACTGTGCCCAGCCATATTTTCGTGTACATTCAGCTAGATAATTCAAAGAGCTATAAAACATGGTTCTTTTCTAAGGAGACTATAAGTGCATAAATATTTGAATATTATGTTTCAATCTGAAGAAATTTTCACATATTACACTGTTTCTCTTTCAGGGTAATAGATGGTTTGGAAACTCTAGATGAATTGGAGAAGTTACCAGTAAATGAGAAGACATATCGACCTCTTAATGATGTACACATTAAGGACATAACTATTCATGCCAACCCATTTGCTCAGTAACTATAATAGCCCTGGACAAATACCTGACACACCATTTAGTGGACACACCTCTTGTGGTTTCCCAGTTTTAATTATATCAAAGATTGCATCATCCTCCTGCTTGTTTACATCAAGGTCTTCAATGGAATGGTGGTACCAAGGGGAGCCCAACAGCTTTTATGTTCTTGGAGCATATTCCTTACTACAAATTTTCTCCAATGTATTTCTTTAATTTTGATATAAAATACCCTGTTTAATTTTTGTTACATATAAGCATTCATTTTTAAATGCTAAGCATCATTTAGATGCCAGCATTTTTGAGCGCCATAATTACATATTGCATATCTAGTCCGTATCCTGGACTATTTTTCATTACTTATTCATTTTATGCAGTTAGAGGAGGGACAGGATAAAGAGGTCGTCTAGCTGGGCACAGTGGCTCAGGCCTATGTTCCCAGCACTTTGGGAGGCAGAGGTGAGAGAATTGCCTGAGTCCAAGGGTTTGAGACTAGCCTGGGCAACTTGGCAAGACCTTGTCTCTACAATAAATAAACAAATAAATTAGCTGGGTATGGTGGTGCACAGGGTGTCACTGCAGTCCAGCCTGGGTGACAGAGTGAGACTCCTACTCAAAAAAAAAGAAAGTAGTCTATACAGGCCAGCCAATTCATCTACCATTTGCTTTGGTCTTTAGATGTATACTAAAGGCTCGAGGAACTCCTGGAATACAGTAAACACTCCACATTTCCCAACTGATTTGCTTGTAGACATTTTTTGAGGCATATCTTTTAGGGTATTGTCCAGTTGAACTCTACAGAAGCCCTACATGTGGCCTCAGCCAAGCTTTGGTGTATCATCCATAAATAATACTCCCTCATGGGCATTCCTTTCAGAACCCCTCCTGCTCCTAGGAGATTTTCTATCCTCTAATAAATTCCTATTTATTAAAAAAAAAAAAATCCCTCATAAGGCTTGTAAGTGTTCACTGAATGGTCTGTGAAGCTCTGGCACGTGAGAAATAAAGAGAAGCTGCTCCCTGACATCATGCCCCACTGCAGGGCTCACCTAAGAAGCCATTTGTCAGGCTCCCCATTGATTTTAAGGACCAGGTTCTGCTTACTGCCCAGAACACTTGGATGGGATTCAGGTGTCCCTAAAACTGATGCCAAACAGTTGTCTTGGCATTAGGCCTGGTTTGTTCCATTTCAGATCTAGTGAATGTTTTGATTATTTCTTACAGTTTAGCAGCTAGTCTGCAGCTGTCCTCTTGTTATCATTCATACCTTCCACTAAACTGAGGTGCTAGCTACACTGATGAACTCATTTTGTTTTATCTTTTTTTTTTTTGAGTTGGAGTCTCACTCTGTCACCCAGACTGGAGTGCAGTGGCTGGGAGTGGCTACTGCAGCCTCGACCTGCTAGGCTCCGGTGATCCTTCCACCTCAGCCTTCCAAGTAGCTGGAACTACAGGTGCACACTACCACACCCAGCTAATTTTTTATTTATTGTAGAGATGAGGTCTCGCCAAGTTGCCCAGATGGGCCTCGAACCTGTGGGCTCAGGCAATCCACTCACCTCGGCCTCCCACAAAGTGCTGGGATTACAGGCTGAGCCACCGACTCCGGCCTGTTTTATCTTTTTTATTTCCGTCATTTAGGCTTCTAGAATTACTATTAAAGCCTCCCTTTGGCCAGAATTTTGTTCTGCCACTTTTTTGTTGTTATTTTGCTTTGTTTTTTGAGTTGGAGGTCTCACTCTATCTCCAGGGCTGGGTGCATTGGCATGATCCTGACTCACCACAGCTTTGCTCTCCTGGGCTAAGGTGATCCTCCTGCCTCAGCCTCCCAGGTAGTTGGAACTACAGACATATGCCACCAGGCCCAGCTAATATTTTACTTTTTATAGAGATGAGGCCTCACTAAGTTGCTGAGACTGGTCTCAACTTCCTGGACTTAAGCTATTCTCCCATCTAGGGCTCCCAAAGTACTGGGATTACCAGCATGAGCCACCACACCCACCTTTTGCTGCTTTTACTGATGATTGTTAGGATGTTTTATACTTTCTGGTGTTTCTGCCATTTTTAATTAGTGGTACCAATATGGTGGCTTTTGTTTTCAAAACTCTTACATCTGCTCAGTCACAGCTATAAAAATATAAGCCGTATGTGGTGGCTCATGCCTATAATCCCAGCACTTTGGGAGGCCGAGATGAGAGGATTGCCTGAGCCCACGGGTTTGAGACCAGCCTGGGCATCTTGGCAGGTCCTCATCTCTACAATAAATAAAAAATTAGCCAGTGTGGTGGTACGTGCTTGTAGTTCTAGCTACTTGGAAGGCTGAGTACGAAGGATCACCTAAGCCCAGCAGGTCGAGACTAGTGGCCATGAGTGTGCCACTGCACTGCCTTGGGTGACATATTGAGACTCCAAGTCAAAGAAAAGAAGGTAGAACTTTTGAAGACAGAAAATATTTCTCAGTGTACAAACACCACAAAGGTAGCGCTGGAACAGGTTTAACTACATGAAAATGGAATTTATTTTTCCAAAAAAAAAAACTTGGGGCTGTGCACTGTTGCTCGTGTCTAATTCTAGCACTTTGGGAGGCTGAGGCGGTAGGATTGCTAGAGTCTAGGAGTTTGAGATCAGCCTGAGCAACATAGTGAGACCCTGTCTCTAGTTTTTTTAAATAAAAAAAAAATTTTTTTTTTTTGAGTTGGAGTCTCTTTCTGTCACGAAGGCTAGAGTGCAGTGGCATGCTAATGGCCTCCCCAGTATCAACCTGCTGGGCTTCGGTGATCCTTCCACCTCAGCCTTCCAAGTAGCCAGAGCTACAGGTACATGCTACCACGCCCCACTAATTTTTGATTTATTGTAGAGATGAGGTCTCGCCAAGTTACCTGGGCTATTCTCCAACCCATGGGCTCAGGCAATCCTCTCACCTTGGCCTCCCAAAGTGCTGGAATTACAGGCTTGAGCCCCCACGCCTGACCCAGTATCACATTTTTTTTTTTTTTTTTTTGAGTTGGAGTCTTACTCTGTCACCCAGACTGGAGTGCAGTGGCCGCACCCGGCCACCGCAGCCTCGCCTGCCGGGCTCCAGCAATCCTTCTGCCTCAGCCTTCCAAGTAGCCAGAATTACAGGCACGTGCTACCACGCCCGGCTGATTTTTTGATTTATTGTAGAGATGAGGTCTCGCCTGCCCAGATGGGTCTCGAACCTGCAGGCTCAGGCAATCCACTCACCTCAGCCTCCCAAAAGCGCGGGATTACAGGCTGAGCCACCGAGCCCGGCTTACACTTTTTTTTTTTTTTGAGTTGGAGTCTCTCTCTGTCACCCAGACTGGAGTGCAGTGGCCACTCCTGACCACTGCAGCCTTGACCTGCTGGGCTCTGGCGATCCTTCCGCCTCAGCCTTCCAAGTAGCTGGAACTACAGGCATGCACTACCACGCCTGGCTAGTTTTTATTTTTGATTTATTGTAGAGACGAGGTCTCACCAAGTTGCCCGGGCGGGTCTCAAACCCGCAGACTCAGGCAATCCTCTCACCTCGCCCTCCCAAAGTGCTGGGATTACAGGCTGAGCCACCAAGCCCGGCCCACATTTTTAATGTTATGCCTTAGTTTGTTAGGACCGCCATACAAAAGTAGCTACAGGCTGGCTGGCCTAACAGAACATGTATTTTCTCACAGTTCTAGAGACTATAAGATTTAGGTGTTGACAAGGTTCTTTCTGTTAAGGACTCTCTCCTTGGCTTGCGTATGGCCATCTTCTCCCTGTCTACACAGTCTTTCCTCTCTGCAGTCAGTGTCCCATCTCTCCTTGCCAGGATACATTACAGTGGATCAGGGCCCACCCTAATGATCTCATTTATCCTTAACTACCTTTTTAAAGGCTCTGTCTCCAAAGACTAATGTTCTGAGGTCATGGGGGTTGGATGGAGGGTGCTCTAGACCCCCAACACTCAGCCCCTAACATGTGCTATAAGATGCACTAAAAGCCGGGCTCGGTGGCTCAGCCTGTAATCCTGCGCCTTGGGAGGCTGAGGTGAGTGGATTGCCTGAGCCTGTGGGTTCGAGACTCGCCTGGGCAACTTGGCGGGACCTCATCTCTACAATGAATCAAAAATCAGCCGGCGTGGTAGCGCGCCTGTAATTCCAGCTACTTGGAAGGCTGAGGCGGAAGGATTGCCGGAGTCCAGCAGTCGAGGCTGCGGTGGTCGGGAGCGGCCACTGCATTCCAGTCTGGGCGACAGAGTGAGACTCCAACTCAAAAAAAAAAAAAAAGATGCACTAAAATAAGTTCATAAGTGAAACTTTGGGTATTTCCCAAATTAGTAAATGGCTAGATTTGGGCTTCTTGCTAAATTAAAAACCATTTTGGAACTGCAACTATTTGAAGCACCCCTTGTTTGGAAATAGCTCTGCAAGGATATGGTCCTGGTCACTGAGTTCTGGTTTTTGCTTTTTTGTTCAGGGGTGGAGTATTAGCTTTTTGCCATTAAAAGGTCACCCATTGGACACTTGAACAAACTTAGTTAAAAGGTCAGTGGCCTCTAGCTGGATGCCGTGGCTCACGCCTTTAATCCCAGCACTTTGGGAAGCGGAGTTGAGAGGACTGCCTGAGCCCAGAGGTTCGAGACCAGCTTGGGGAACATGGCGAGACCTCATCTCTACAATAAATTAAAAAGTTAGCTGGGCGTAGTGGCATACGCCTATAGTTCCAGCTACTTGGAAAGCTGAGGTGGAAGGATCACTTGAGCCCAGCAGGCTGAGGCTGTGGTGGCCATGAGCATGCCACTGCACTCGCCTGGGCGACAGAGTAAGACTCCAACTCAAAAAAAAAAAAGTCAGTGGCCTCAACCAGTTTGAGCTAGATTCAGAGCTGACATTTGAGTTCCTGGAAAACAACTTAGCAAAGATCTGATCCATATATCAGAGTGAGGTGTTATCTGTAGGAATATTGTGGAAACTATGGTTAGGCTACATGACATTTTAAGAATAAGCTGTTAGCTGGGCGTGATGGCGCATGCCTGTAGTTCCAGCTACTTGGAAGGCTGAGGCAGAAGGATTGCTTGAGCCCAACAGGTTGAGGCTGTGGTGGCTGTGAGCTTGCCACTGCACTCCAGCCTGGGGGGCAGCATGACACGCTAACTCAAAAAAAAACAAAAAATGCCTTACAGAGGCTTCAGTTACTGGCTAATCATTAATGTCTATCTGGCCACCAGTTTTTATTTTTCCTCAAGTTATTTTAAACACTAAATTCCTCTCTGCACAGAGTTGTTTACTGCAACTTTCACCTATAATAGCAGAATGTGGTTGGTGCTCATCTTGCAGACTGTTAGGATTCTGAGGACATAGACAGCGCTTAGCAGGATAACTAGCCTCCTATGGTTAGCTATTAGGTTCCAAAAATTGGGATTCCCTAGATTTGCTTTTTGTACTGCTAAATATGTGCCAAAAAACCTTAGTGCTGGGTCCAGTAAATAGGCTGCTACCCCTCAGGGCCAGTCAAAACAAGAGGCAGAAACAGAGCAATGGGTGTTTAATCTGATACCACTGAATCAGGGAGTAAGTATATTAACCAAAAAAACTCGTTCCCTGACAGTACAACTTTCTGAGAATTTGTACTCCATAGCCCCTTTCTCTTTCTTACCTCCTGGGTAAATTTCTTTCTTTCTTTTGGAGTCTCACTCTGTTGCCCAGGCTGGAGAGCAACGACACGCTCACTGCCACCGCAGCCCCAAACTGTTGGGCTCAGGTGGCCCTTCCGCCTAAGCCTTCCGAGTAGCTGGAACCATAGGCGTGTGCCACCATGCTCGGCTAGTTTTTTTTTTTTTTTTTTTGACTTGGAGTCTACTCTGTCGCCCAGACTGGAGTGCAGTGGCCGCTCCCGGCCACCGCAGCCTGCACCTGCTGGGCTCCGGCGATCCTTCCGCCTCAGCCTTCCGAGTAGCCGGAATTACAGGCGCGCGCTACCACGCCCGGCTGATTTTTTGATTTATTGTAGAGATGAGGTCTCGCTGCCCAGGCGGGTCTCGAACCCGCGGGCTCAGGCAATCCACTCACCTCAGCCTCCCAAAGGCGCGGGATTACAGGCTGAGCCACCGAGCCTGGCTGGCTAATTTTTTGATTTATTGTGGAGACAAGGTCTTGCCATGTTGCTCAGTCTGGCCTCGACCCCTGAGCTCAGGCAATTCTCTCCCCTCTGCCTCCCAAAACGCTGGGATTACAGGCTTCAGCCACCGCGCCTGGCTCCCCTGGGTAAATTAACAAAGGCTAGACTCAAAATCTCCTAATCCCTTCAGCAGCCCCCAAGATTGATTTACCAAGGCAGTTTCTGCATGATCCAAGATCTAATCATTGTGATAGTTCCTTAAGGGAATGGGAAGTTACCATAATCAAGGGAGCCACCGTGGTACATTTAGATAAACAACTTCACATCAAACAGGAGAACTATAAGAAACCCCAGTCCAGAGCCTTGGCCTGTAACACAACCACAGATAAATTCCACAGGCTACGGGGATGGAGTGTCCCCCTTGTGTGATATTCACCTCCTACTCAGTGAGCCTTCAGAGCACGTCCAATTCCAGTAAGGGAAGGGCTGAAGTGCTCGAGTCACACCCAGCCCCGCGCAGAGCGCCGGCAACCTCCCGGGCCTCCTGCCAAACGTGCATCTTAATCCTTCGCTTTATGAACCAGACCAGTACAATTATGCGTCCCAGTCACGTACGCTTGTGTTTTTTCCACTAAATTTTGAGTAAATGCGGGCTTCTTTCCCTCAGTGGCAGAGCAGAAGCAGGCTGCGGGGCAAGCTCAGGATTCCCTCCGCCGCGCCCAGGCGCAGTGGAGGCCGCGCCGGCCTCTCCCAACGCGCGGCTCCCTGGGCTCCGCGTTCAGCTCGGAGGGCTCCTGAACGCAGAGGTGCCTCTGAAACGTGCAGTCGCTCTCCGGCTTCTCGCCAGATCGCACAGGTCTTTCGCCTTTTGCTAAAGATTTCCGTGGACGAGAACAACTCCGAGGTTTTGTTTTTGTTTTTTTTTTTTTGAGCTGGAGTCTCACTCTCGCCCAGACTGGAGTGCAGTGGCCCGCCGGCCGCCGCAGCCTCGACCTGCTGGGCTCCGGCGATTCTTCCGCCTCAGCCTTGCGAGTAGCGGGAACTACAGGCGCTTGCTACCACGCCCGGCTGATTTTCTGATTTATTGTAGAGATGAGGTCTCGCTGCCCAGGCGGGTCTCGAACCCACGGCCTCAGGCCATCCACTCACCTCAGCCCCCCAAAGGCGCGGGATTACAAGCTGAGCCACCGAGCCCGGCTTTTTGTTTGTTTTTTTAAGGGGGAGCTGTGATTCAGAAGCTGTCTGCAAATCATAACTCCGAGTTTTTCACTAATTCTGAGGCCTTGCTGTGGCAGGGATAGGAAAACAAAACCCAGTCCTCACTTCCTGCCCCAGGCTCTTGCCCCCTCGGCTTTTAAACCCTTGGGGAAATCCTTCTAATCAACTTCGGCGCATGCGGGCCCCAGCCACTAAAGACGCGCGATAAAGCAGGTCTCGATCCTTAGCCAAGGCCGACATCCAACCGATGACAGATTTGAAGACATTCGAGGCTAACGCCATACTATTTTAAAAGCATTGTTTTAGTGGCCGCAGTTAGAACATGTGCTGTTTCCTGATTTTCCCACCCTTCCCTGCTTCTAGCGTTCACAAACACAGCTCTTAGCGTGGACAACACCCTTCTCCCCAGCCCCGAGGCACTTCCCCCGATTCCGGAGACTCGGGCCAAAATGGCCGCGCCGCAACCCCTCCCTTCCCCCACCCCACGCCAGCTCGCTCGGGACGCACGGCGCCGGCGCACTCGGCGGCCGCGCGCGACGCCCCGTCCTTCCGCGCCACGCCACGCCCCCTCCGCGCCACGCCACGCCCCCGCGGTGGAGACGCGCTCGCTGCGTCATCGTGTTTTCGAGGCGAGCCCTGACGCTGCGTCTGTCATCTCCATTTTGCACTCGGTGCCCGTCGCATCCAGCTGGGCGCTCTGCGGTGCAAGCTTTGTCACCTTGGCCTTGTTGGAGTCTCTGGCCGACACGGTAAGATGCTGGAGGCGGCGGACCGGACCTCAGGGCCCTTCCTGTGTCCTCACTTGTTTACCGCCCACAGTCCTCGGCGCGACGACTCCAGACCTCTCGCCCTGGGCCGAACAAAGGCGGGTCTCCCGGCCTCCCTGGTCCTCAGAGCCCGTCGCCGCAGGCTTCTGCTTGCGGAGGTGCCGTTCGCTAGACGGGCGCCGTTCGCGGAGGGAGCGGG